AGCAGGAATTTAATACCAACTTAGGAAGTACTGGTGGTTTTATATTTTTTTTCCTTCCTTTGACTTCTCTCTAACTACAGCATTTTTGGTCAGTTTAAATGGAAAGCTTGTTGGGCAGAGGTTGTGCCTGGAGGGGACTCTTTAGGAAAAACCAAGGCATGGTCTAGGTGCTCTGCATGTTCTGCCAATTTGCGCAAATAGGTGACAATCATTCAACTAACTGTAGACTAAAACCAGAGGAAATAAACATTTATTACATTTTATGTAAATGATGGTGGAAAGAGATTAAATATTTTTGTGAAGATAATGCATTACAACTTTTTTCAGTTTTGCTTAGTATTCTTCCAAACTTTTATGAGTGTAACAGTTATCTCTTACTTTGCATGATATTGAGAGACAAAAATACTGCTACCCATCTGCATTGGCTCACCAAGGTCTAGTCTGTATTGAAGACCCTTCCTTCCCCCTGTTGTAAGTTGAGAAAGACCAATGCTTTCCCAGAGCAATTGGGATACCAGAGGTGGTGGTACAGATATTCTCTGCTCACTGTGAAATTCTGGCAAAGGTCCACTTGCCTTGGAGAGGATCATGCGACATTTCTAAATGTGTCTTTTTGCTAGGAATAAAGCCTTTAAATTTTAAACTTGAATATATTTGCTTCTTTTCACAGGCTACCAGATTTGGATCTCAAGCAAGTCAAAAGGTGATTATAGATTTAGCTCTGTCTTATTGACTGTAATTGGCTTTAAATGTCATGTGTTTGCCTGCATCAATTGATTTAGACTTGATCATCAACAGACCAGTGTGTTTTCCCTTCATAGTGCACAGTAATTTTTAGGTTCTAGCTTTTATTTCCATGGGAATTGCAATCAACTGCAGTGATCAAATTAAGTAAGAAATAAACAGCGGTACTCTGCTGTGTATAACTGGTGAGTGTATTGGAGAGGCAGTAGAATGAAATGCTTTAATTTGTGCTTGCAAACTTAAAATACCCTTATTTTATTTTTGTGAACCTTAAACATGGTCTATCTTGAAGTAGTTTTCTTGGCGAGGTAATATAATGCAAGCCATCTTTCCATTGCTAAAGCCTAATAAGATATTACAGATGTGAACTGCTTAATATTGTTATTAAATTAACTTGCTTGTGTGTATTTAAAAAAGTAGCAATTACAAAAGCTTTCAAACTAGGGTTAAAACAGAGACAGTCAGACTTGAATTACACAGAGCTCTGGCATAAGCAAGATCTGTTTGCATGGAGAAGTTTTAAATTCAAATGTAAAAATATGTAAAAAATAGGATTCTTAATGTGCCAGAGTTCTGAGTGAGAAAGGGCTTACGTATATTAATATATGATACAAGGAGTTTTACTTTAAACTATAACTCTTCTTGTATGTATAGTATTAGCCTGGCATGCTTTCTGATATGCACAGGATGCTGTTGCTCAAAACAAACACGACTGCAGGTGTTGGTGTTCACACAGATGTATGCAGTAGGGTGTCAATACTCCAGATAGCAAGCCAAAGTTGTGCATGTTTTGCAACAAAAAGGTCTTGTTAAAGCACCCAAACTTGATACTTAGAAGCTTTAAAGTATTTGCTTCTTGGCTTACATAAGAAAAACTAAATGTTCTCCAAGTCTTCCTCTGTCACGCTTTCCGGCAGTTTCCCTTTTAGAAACCTGTTCTTTCTTTAGTATTATCAGTAAATGTAAATACAATACTACGTGTAAAAGCTTATCACATCTACTGACAAGGACCACAGCAACATGGTGATCTAGAGTCTAAGCTGTGTTACTGAAGCTTAAATTTTGTTCCTGAAACATCTGATCTTTTGTTCTGTAGAACAGATTTAGCATCTTTTTGATGTAATATATTGTTTAAAAGTGTATTTGGTGTCCTGCGACCAAACATATTCACTGGCTGTCTTGTCAGTAGATGTTAAAGTTGGAAAAGGTTCACGCTACTTAACTTGCCTGAAAAAATGCTGCCAATTTTTTGCTAAAAGCTGCTTCTACCTTCCTTGCTCTTTCTCTTTTGCTGTCTGGGTAAAGTTTTGGGGCTACAAGCAGCAGCCAGAGCCGGTAACGCCCTCACATATGTTCTTGTGCATGGACTCTGTGTTGCTGTTCGTGCTGAATATGTGCATTTGCTCTTGAGCCGTCTTTTGGTTTCTTTGCCTTAAGTCAAATCTGTTTAGAATAATGTTGTGTGTTTCATATGGTAATGTTTCTTCAAACCTATTTAAAATAGGTTAAATTAGATAGAGATATCCAAGCTCTGCACTCTCAGAAAACATGCTGTACTTTTGTCCATGCTCTTCATAAAACACAGATGACTTCAGGATTTCCGTTTGCATGTCTGATCCAGGAATGCAGTATCCCAAGAACTACCCTGGGGTGTTGTTTGAAGGCAGGCTCTTTAATGAATGCCCATTATGTAGTGTTAGCAATGGTAGTTAGGATGCTGTCCTAAATTCAACAATAGTAAAGATGAATCAGCGATTTGGATGGAAGCACAATTGGACCCAAATCTTCCCTTTCCGTATTTACAATATTATGTGGTTGAGAAAATGGGATAATATAAGAATTCTTCCTGGTTCTAGTGATTACTTCACTTAGCATACCTGAACTGTTAGTCTTAGTGTATTACGCTCTTTATTATATAACATGAACAATTTGTCAGGTTTAATAGACTCTGAAGGATTTATCAAAGGTGAAAAATCCCCTTTCTTGTTTTTCTTAAACACTTTCTAGCCTCACTTCCAATGGAAACAAGCTCCTTGATTTGCACTCACGTTTCTTACTAGGTGGAAATAGGGTTACCTTTTGCCTTTGTATTCTCAAATAACATTTGAACTGGTAAGGAGTAGAAGTATTTGAGATAATGGTGGTTGGATAGAGGGGAGATCCTAGCAGTGCTGTGGCTAAGGGAAAGGCTTTTTAGACACCTGGGAATTTGTGGAGGAAAGATGTTCAGGGTGCTCCATCCCCGGGAAGAATATGAGTGAAGGCTCACACCCTGACCAATGTTAGCAGTAAGATATAAACCCTTAGGAAATTACACTTCATTAGACTCTGCTAATGTTTAGGAATAACATTTGTCTTGCAAGCAAATTGGCCATTTTGGATTAATTGGGCTAATTCAGAAGGTAATCGGTATAATACAGCAATTGGGAAGAAAAGTTTAAATCGATTAAAGGCTT